CGGGAGGAGGAGGGCTGGTCCCTACCACTTCGTCACAATCCACTGCTTCTACAAGCATTAGCTCTCCAGTAAGATAAACCTTTCAATTGTCTTATTTTGTCATGATGTCACAGATGCAAGTCGAGGGAACAAAATTGTGGTGTGTCTCTGATGAACTGCTTCACGTTTGACCCTTCTTCCCTCCTCCCGAGAAACAACCATCAAAACCTAGCTCTAGACACCTTCACTTCTCCTCCAACGATACTTCGCAGTCACCCTGCTCCACTTCGCGTGTGATCATGCGATTGTCCAATGCGGATGTCAAGAAGAAGTGAGAAGCCTTACCTGACGCCCGAGTGAGAGAACATTCGAGAAATACGGAGGGCGGGGGGTGGGGTTGGGGTTACAGGGACTGGAGTGAGGCCGTGCATCTCTCCATCCCTCCCTTTCATTGCAGCCTAGAACTCAAATTACCTGCCATGGAAGTGTGCGATGGAGAGGGTAGTGAGTGGATGGATCATCTTGAGGTGAGAGGTGGGGGGAGCAGAAATTACCAGCGAAATGTTAGCTTGTCGAACGAAATTTGGAGTTAGTCATGCAACCAGTCTGCCAGTAAGTTGGCCAGCAATCAATTCCTTCTCCACCATACGTTTCGACGGGGTGAGGTGAGAGGGATATGAAGGGCAAAGTGGTAGACTTTGAAGGCTGTTGTCTCCCATCTCATGATGGAGGGCAGGTGACACCCATTCGGTTAGTGGCTGCCACCACGGCTTTCCTCTCCCAGGTGAAGTGCCAACTAATTGTCATCCCTCTCTTTCTCATCTGACGCATCTTCCATTCATCTTTTGGGAGCTCTACCAGCAATCCGTCTATGACCTTCGACACCATTGACCTATTAATCGCCTTCTTATTCGACCCCTGCCTTGTGTCAAATAATTGGTCGTTTCTGCTGTTAATTCGCGGACCAAATTGACCTGACAAAGTCGTCGCACCTAATACTGACCAACCTGGGGCCTCAAACAGTTCATTGCCTGGTACCTACTCGCCTCGCTGAGGATTCAACGGCAACGGTGGATGAAGTGATTTAAGGCTTGTGGAGTGAGTACCAGCAAAGGAGTAAACCTGCAACTGTGAAATCAAGAAATCCCCATTTCACTGGAACCACCCTCATCTTGGCAATCTAGCCAACAGTGGTACCGTTCTTGACACCTTTGTCGAGACATCCACCGTTGCCGATGAATGAGCTAGGTTGCCTCCTGAAGGCACTTTAACAAATGCTTCTTAATTTCTCACCATATTTTGATAGTTTCAACGACTGCCTGTTGGCAAGCTTACTTGTTAAGAATGCAACGACAACAAAATCTTACCCATTCAGCAACATCAGTTTCGTATTCATCAAACGGCATTTTATTCCTGAATAGAGAATCAACCACTTGATCCCCATCCATTCTCAACTTCGATCGTCACTTTTTTACAAGAATGATTTTGTCTTCACACATCTGCGAATTAAGAGGGGGGAGAGTCAAGCCAGACTCTACACTTTGCCGTCGAAGCAAGGAAGGCATTCTACAGTTGGAGCTTCTCCGTTTCCAGATCTTCCAACGCACTCCACACTGAGCTCTGTCGACGCACAGATTTGTTACCTGCAAGCCCTGCTGTCTGCTGGAGATTAGTCGTCGTCTCACCTACCAGATCTATTGTGACTTGTTTTTTTTTGGAGGCTCCCGTCTCCGCGGAAGCCGAGGACTAGCAAGGAAATTGTCAAAGAGACTCGTTAGCTGAAATTGCCACACAATTATTACCTTGCTACCACTTACTGGAAAGTATTGTGACGTCGCGGATTCAGGAATAGGGTCCCCACCATCCTTGCCAAAAATGCTCTTCCACAGCAACTCCTCTCGAGATGGTTCGTGCCTGCTACTTGATGAGGCCTCAGCCACCTCGGGGTTACTCAATTCGGTTAGTTGTGTCTTTGCCTCATCCACTTTGGTGGTTGATGCTTCGTGACGCTTTACGATTCGTTCTAACTCCTCTTTGAGCTCCTTCAGATTAGCATCCGCAGTGGAGTCTTTCGGTGTCTCCTTCACACTTCTTAGAGAATAAAAAAATGACCTTTGTCCTACTCAGGTAAATTTAGGTAAGGCAAAAAAGTTTATAACTCGAATGATGAAGGATTTTGCTTACTTCGATATTTTTGATTTTTCCGCAAGATCTAAGGCAAAAAAGAGGAGGATAATCAAGGAGTGCTCAAAGCTGGATTTATCATCAGTTAACTAATTAATTGACAAAAGGGGGAACGAAATAAACGCACCAAGTTTTCCGCTTCCTTTCTGTAAAAATGGACAAAATAAAACCTTGATTTTTTTGAGTAGGAAATTGGTACTCACTTCAGTTCACTTGCTTTAGGGAAGAAAAACAATTGCCCCTTGAAGGTTTTTGAGAGGCATCTACCTCAGTTGGTGGATTTGGTTGAAGGGACTGGGACGAAGGTCAAAGTAATGGGGTCAGGGGACAACACTAGGCCTACACCTACAACTTGTGGAAAGTATTATCTACTGGCTTGACGCAGCTTCCCCGAGGCTTCATCAATCGGTGCCAAAGATGGCAGAAGAGTGATTACACAGAGTGACTACGACAAGCGTTACATAGGAACCGCCTAATTGCCTTTACTAGCCAAGACAACCATTTAAATTATTTACGATGAGGGTCAAAATAAATTGACAAATTAAAGTTCCCAGATGAGGACTGTTTAAGAGTTTAAAACCAATTGATATTATTACTATTATTAATGTGGAATGCTGACAGAGATCCAAAGGTGGTGTCCTGGCCTATCAAGCCGCATACTTGCAATAGGCATAGAATTCCACCAGGTTAGTCAAGTCATTGTCGTTAAGGTGTTCAACTAAGGATGATTTTCCACTAAACATTTTCCATGGTTTGTGAATAAAAAGAAATAATTTTTCCATTTCATAAGTTTCCCATTAAGTGCAATGCTGCAAATTGTGATTTTTAGGCATCAAAGACACTCAAAACAACATTTGAATTCACTATCCTTAAAAAATACTAGAAGCCACTTTGTCAAGACCTCTGCGACTTGGTCTTTAAAAGAAGTAAGGAATGGAAGAATAAAAAAAGTAGTTTTGGAATTTTTAGACCTCTTACAGTGGGTGTTTCTGCGTTTTGCTTCTATTAATCTCATCTCTTCTAAACGAAGCAGAGGCCAGCTAGTTTCGTATTCAACGAATGTCAAGTGCAATAAGTGTGGAAGCAAACAATAAAACCAGGTGCTGGACATTATCTCCGCTCTATCTACACCATTTGGCTTGTAATCACGCGACTGCTAAATGCCAAAGCCAAGAAAGGGTGACGATCAACACTGGGAGAAACACGGATAAGGAGAACACAGAGAATGAGTATGAGACAATGTCTCGCCACCACGACTCCTCCCTTTCTCCCACTGCAAAGCCTTAAATTTTCCAACGGAGAAGTTTTACAGTAGGTGATAGGAGGGCCTTGCGTGATCCCCTGCCATATTTGCCTGTGGAAGCAATCATAGGACTCTCTTCCCATTGATTCATTAGTCCTCCACCTATTCAAGTTGTATCGAGTTGATGGATTTCGGACGTATTTCCCGTTTGGCCTTCAGTTAGTACATTGTGCAAGGCTTCCAAATGACGGAGAAGGAGTAAAGAGCACAATAAATAGTCTTATGTTGATACATTATGATTTTTGATGCCAATAAAAAGGTTCTGGTAGCTGGGTTATGCTGAATAAAACAAAAACGTTTTAGTCACTAGAAATTAATGCAAAAGCACAGCCTGCTTGATTCACCGATGAACGCCGAAAAAGTTTCAGAGTGGTGTGAGATGGAGAACTCGAGCAACACGATGACAGGTGAATAAAAAATAATTGTTAGCCAATGGAGGTGGAGAGATCCACCTCAAACTGCAGGTAATAAATTGGCGGCAAAGATTAGCGTCTTCCCTACCCAAACGATTTGATATCAGTTGCTGTATGAAAAGCGAAAGGTTATCGCTTCAAGTGGTCTTCTCCTCAAAGTTGTTTCGCCTTAGTTTTGATTTCTTCGACGTTTCTTAAATCCTTTTAAACTATGACATAAGGCAAATCTTACTGGCCCTTATCTACCTTGAACAATATCATCGAGATTGTGATCCTTGATTTTAGACCCTAACAAGATCCAAATCCGAAACAGCTTCTTCCGTTCCTGCCTAAATATCAATCTATTTACTCGTAAACTCATTAAAATCAACTCTACATCCTTCAGTGTGACAAATTCTCCTTCATTTATTCTTTAATTTTTTTCCGACTAATCATCCACTCATACACTCACCAATCCATTCACTTGTAAAGCATCTAACGAGTAACCTTCACATTTACCCACTCGTTTAGGGATCTGCTTTTCTCTCTTTTCTGCAACTTCACTATCTATCGATTCCAAATTCATTTGTCTAGCCCTCTATCAATCCATCAATCAAATTTTCAATGACTAGTTTATCACCGCCTTTGTGTTGGGTGTGGCTGGCTTCAATGACTTGGTAAAAATGGAAGGGACTTGTAAAGTACATACGATTGTACACTACTCCTTATTGTACTTCCTACTACCTTCCTTCTGTTTTGAAGCCTTCATATAATAAGGGGTGGATTGGTCAGCTCTGATGTGATTCCAGTCGGTCTACTAGACGAGTCGAGGCTAACTCGATTCCAAAACCGCAGAAGATAGCTTCTCGTTAAATGTGTCGCATAGTATCTGATGAGGATGTACCATGCGGTAGTAGGAAGCACCTTCCGAAAACAAATGATTGGAACAACCCGATCGTGATGATGAAAGACCGACCAGAGGTGCATCGCGATGAGGAGAAACATCGCTGTAGGTTCAATTACCTCCTAAAGCGCCTTGCAACGCAAGCAGTGAAACAGAGCTGCTTCACATCTACATCACCCGAGTTGGAGCAGTCATAGTGGGAACTATTAAGCACAAGGTCGCCTCCTTGCCCTGCATCTAGAGAAGACAGACAGCAAACTTCAAAGACTGCCACTTTGTTCTTCACCTACTCACTTCGCTTCCACCAAAAGGCACAGTAGCGAATGAAATGACTGCTGACTGACTACCTGACTTGTGATTAAAAATGACCTTATTCCCATGGACTTCAACACTCCTGAATCGAGTGGACAAATCACCGCTCGTCCCCAACTGATCCATCCACTCATCATAGCATCCACTTAAAACTTCTAAGTCACTCACCATTCCATTTCACATGACCTTGCATGCTTTACGTGTGTTCGATGGAATCCAGAACCGTTCACTCGTTGGCGGCAAAACCACACGACTGTGATTCATCCATCTACTCAATACGGTGTGACCGGAATTTGTGAGGACGAAACTGATTCTGCTTCATATACCTCAGAAACAGTCGAGAAAAGCCTTCTTCATACGTTAAGCAAGAAACTCAAATGCCATCCGTGAGAAGTTGGGAAGAAAGAAGGAAAGGGTAAAAAGATATTGCCGCATTCTCATCCAATTTCTCATGCTTCGTACAGTCCTGATCCTTTGTTTTCCAAGTAAAGCTTATGCCTACTCTGGAAGTAACTTCAGTCAATCGCATACCCGCGTGTGAAATGAAAATGACAGGTGTGAACCGACAATGAGGCAGCACTGGAATCTTAGTTCGTTTCCAAAATCTAACTTTTTACAGCAAAAGATGATTATCACTGGCAAATAAATACATTGCAATATTAATTACCTCAAGAAATGTAATGTAAAAATTTTCTTTACTTAGTTTTTGATAAACCTACATGATCTAATTCAGTTCTCTTAAAATATCTTGGCAAACTTGGTACTAATGTGCTCCATTTGAATGACAATCGTTGTCTACTCACCTCAAAATTCTCCTGCAAATCTGGCATAGCTGCATCGTCACTGTCAGCATCGTCTTCCACCCCACGAGTCGTCGTAGTTTGTTCACCCGCGTCTCCATCTCCATTCCCCTTTTTCTTTCGGCCTCTAGCCGCTGGCACTGGTAAATTCTGTCCCTACATCGAGGTAAATACAACCTCTCAAATCACCCAACCAATCTAGCTTTTAAAAAGAAAAGCCATCTTCTCACCACATCAGCTACTAGCTTGAGACCTCGACTCAGGAGATTCCCTGCTGTGGAGGAGGAATCTTTACCCTCAACAGTACCACCGCCTTCGTGTCTGTTGTTGACGGCGGTGTAGGAGCGAGTAAAGAGACCGTTTTTCATTTTCGCCACCATAGTGGAGATGGGACAGACAGTATGTCGAGATCTACGACGTTTCTCTGTGATCTCATTAGCGCCTCCTGGAGGTGATCGACTATTTGGTAGGCGATGATTGACATAATGACGTTGGAGAGCCTAGCATTCGAAAGGTAATAAGCAAAAGTTGATTGGTTCTGGGGGTAGCCAATCGGGGGCTCAGATGAGTCGTTGACCAATAATAGAGATGACATATTTTACCTCGTCATGAGAATCGCCTTCAAGACCGAAATGACCAGAAATTCGACTGCGCTCGCGTTGAAACTCCAGTCCTGAGGCTTGTGTTACCACAGATTTGGGAAGGCGCTGACTGTAGATATTCTGCAGTTCTAGTAACTTAGTTTTCTCCTGTGATACAAAAAGATTATTTTTTGTTCGTAAATCTGTACTTCATAATGACATGCCGAAAGAATTTTCAACCGTTTGTATATCTAGATTTTATAATCCTCCTGTTTCATGAAAATGATTCAACTTACGTGCGTGACCACGAAGAGCATTGAATGTGAGGGTCGAAACAAAATAGGGCCTACGTGACAAGCCTACAAGTGGTATGACGTTCCTTTTCTACCATCTACACTATTTTGTGCCCTTCCCGATTAACCCACTTTTAAATAACATAAACTTCAAAACGCCTTTCGGGATAAATTGACCACCTCAGTTTTATTGCGAAAACTTCGTAGTCTCCCAAATTTTACTTAAAGGTCTATTAAAATATTTAAATGCTATCTTGTCATCTTATGTTAGCCTACATTTTCCAAAGCAAAGATGTAACGAGATCCTGCTACTTTGGATAGGCCAGTTGCCTAGACAAGAAATGAACACAAATTTCAGACCTGTCCTGAACAGCAAAGACAACACCACTGAAAAACAGCCAATAGTCTTTAAGGTGTCAAATGTGATACGTCTTTCCCTGTTACTATCCTCTTGTCCATCCTGTTGGTATCTGCTTTAAAAAGCTTGACAACAGATTTAAGCGATTTCACTTTTGGCAAAAGCGAATAAAAATATCCTATAGCATTCCTATCATAATTTGGATCGAGAAAATCTGGAGACGCGATGCCTCTCAGGAGAGGCAGCAGGACAGCGTCGAAATGCAAAAAGTGAAAAATATGAATAAAACTCCTATTAGTGTGTCTGAAAAACTCATGGTTTCAACTTGTTTTGAGTCGAAACGAGTACTTTTGGGAAATGAAGTTGAGATATAGTATTGCTTTGAGGGTCCTTGCCCTCTGATACAAGGTTACTAAATCATTCTTTTTTGGTTTATGGTAGATCCATGAGGTCTGAAAGCAAGAAAGTAGAACCAAAAATGTAAGACAAACTTTTTAGTCTCTAAGGTTAGAGTTTCCCAAACTTTTCTGTGTCTCAAAATCACGATAGTTTATAAACATTTAAAGCCCCAAAAAGTGATCAAAATTACCTTGATTTCGATGGGAAATAAGTGGGTAGTCATAAAGTGGAACGAACGAATTCAACACAAAAAAAACACTACATAGGAGGTGTGTTGCTTTGACAGAATTTGTGTACGACTGACTGACTTGAAGGCTTCGGTTTACGATGTTTAGTTGGGCTTGAAGGTCACTGACGAATTTTCTCATCTTCCGGATTTGCTCATTAGCCGCTGCTTGCTCGGTTCTGTGATTTCTTTCCACCAGTTCCATCTTCCTTTGTAGATCCTGAAGTATCAAGGAAGAGAAAGGGAGGTGTAATTATCATATTTAGGAGCAAATTTACGCCTCACAGACACTGTTTATGATGTTCACTATAAAATTATGGCCAGATCGAATACCCAGATTTAATTAACCTCTAACGATTTTAGTTACCACAGTGTCATCAGCATCAGCTTTACTATAAAGAGGGTTTAAACAAAGTCAGCGCTTTTCAGTTTGTGACTGAACAAATTAGAAATTTTAGGAGATTTAAGCGTTAGCTTTGAGTTCGTTACAATGCTATGCGTTGTATTGTCGTGTAGGAACAAGAGGACCTCGCTTCGACTCATTCATTCCCTAGTTCTGATTGCTTCTGAAAGTGGTGAGGCAATAGAATAGAGAAATGAATGCGCGCCTGCACACATTCGAGTTGCAATCCACCTCACACAAATTAGGCACAGTTATGGGAAATGTGGGGTGAGTATTGAGTGAGCTATTTGGGGATAACCAGTGATATGTTCGTTCGTTTAATGAACATTGGAATACAAAAGCACAAAAGTATTTCTTCATCACAAGTCTGGCAGTCAGTCAACTAGTGGCCAATCAACTCTCTCTTAGCGACGCGTCTTGCGAGGATGAAGTAAGTGAAGTTCAAGTGGGTAAAAAAAACACAAATAAGTGAAATAGAAAGAATTCTCTGAAATTTATTCTCGCCATTTGTCCTTCATACGCCCAGCAACCTCCACCACGACATTTACCTTCAAGTTGTTTCATAACCCAGGTTGAAAATACATTTTAGCTATGATCTTAATACATTATTTACGGAAATACTAGGCTACGGTGAGAAATTTGAATGGCATTAACAGCCTCAACTTCTGCTTACACGAAATTTGCGTCGTTCCTCCTCAAGAGTCGTCTGTAAAGTGTCTATTGCTTGAGTTCGTTTCTTAATCTCCTCGTGTTCATTCACAGAAGCTGCGCTGGAGACAGTAGCCGACTTGTGATCACGCTTCTCCAGCAAAGGTAGCAGTCGTGCCTCTGCTTCAAGCGCTCGTCGTTCTGCCAAATCAACAGCCTCCTGCTTGCGTCTTAATCGGATTTGCATTGCACGAACTTCTGCATTCAATCGATCAATAACCGCCGGCATCTCCGCCTCTCGTCCGACCGCCTACAAGGAGCAGAATAGGAGCATACTTCACCATCATACCAAATCACCATCAGATCTTAAGTGTGCCATTGCACCAAAACCAACCTTTGAGAGCCGAGCACTCTGGACCTTACATTGGCGTTGCACAGTGCGAAGCTCTACTCGACACTCCTTCAATTGGCTCTGAAGTAGATGATTTTCGCTTCGCAATGAACCGATAAGGTTCTGACTCGCCTGCCATGCCTCCAAACTCAATTCAGTTTCCAGCGAAGGGTGAAAGCGATGGTGGTGGTGGCGTTGCTGCTGACTACTCTTGGAGCCTCGTATGTCACTTCGGTGCCGCCGGTAACGCCGATGTTGTTGCAACTGTTGCTGTGTTGAAGGCGGTGGTGGTAAGGAAGCAACGTTGGTGCTCGGTGTGTTTGAACCTAAAGGAAGCATTGCCGAGACATTCCCCCATCTTAATATTACTTCAAGAACAACTTTGTCAGTCTCCGTTGCTTCAAGCTTTACCACAGCATCATAAAGATCCGATGATGCTAATGCTTATGATACCAGTTGCCTAGCTCTTTTGTTCATACACAATGAAATACTTCCACACCAGCATATCCTAAAATAACAATAAAGCTAGCCGAAGTAAAACAGTCTGTACGAGGAAGCATAACAGTTTTGAAAAAAGAATAAATATTAATTAGCTGAAAAACTCAAAGAATGTCTAAACTATTTCAACTTGAAGGATCGAGATTTGAAGTCCTCGAAAAAAAATGAGATGAACGTGGATGCGTTGGTAGAAATAACATAACCTTATCTTCAGTTACCAAAATTTTTTATAATAAAAACCACAAGACTTGTAAAAAATGAGTTTTTACCAAAATATACAAGTAATCGGGACTACTGTATTTAAGAATTCGCCAAGGAATGAACAAGTGAGAGAAGGTACTTGCCATTTTTCTGCATGCAGTCTTATAAGTTATGTTGGCGGATAAGTTATGCTATAAAGTCTTTTAAGGATTCCCTTGGAAAAGGTACAGAACTGATTTTAAAATGACTGAAGTTTAAAATCAGTATTGAGAGTGAGTGTTCTAAGAATTTTCAAATAATGGGCTACAAAAATAAGTGTTGAACAAGTATTCACTGCAATAAACTTTATTTAGGGTTTATATTGAATTAATGACGGTAACCTAGATACGAATGACTAGTTAAATCCACAACAGCTTACGGTGTAGCTTATTCGACTTGAGGGGAGTCGGCACGTTGTCGATATTTACATCTGACTCAAAGGACTCATTAAAGTAGGTTTCTTCTTCATCAGCATGTGCCTGTTTAAACGCAAATGGGATGCTTTATGATGGCAGATTGCAGTGTAAAGATGCTACAAGGTTACTTTTTGTAAAATGCAGCTTTTGTGGTTTTAAAAAACATTAGATTGACTCAGCTATACTCAATGAAGCTAATTAGTGGGATGTAAATCAAGGCTTTATTAGTTCGTCATTAGGCAGCATAATTTGGGTTGTAAGATAAAGCCGAGTGGCACTGAGGTTAGAAATTATCTTGTAACAATTAAACGGAGTTCTTTTTAGTTGGTATGAGCTTTGACTAAATCAAAGTAAACATAGTAAATAAGCAAAAAACAACCCATAATGAAGCTATATTTTCACTCAAAAAGCCGCCTTAAGTTGGATATTAGGGCGTCATTTGTTAATAAACTAGCCTGGGGTTCAGTACTATCCATTACCAGAAGGCTTCCTTTACTAGATTCATACATCAATGTGACCTATCTTCAACCATTATGTTATGATATCTCGCGCTGCGCAATAAGTTGGCGGGTTTTCATCCAATTACGTTAGAGAATTAGCCAAATCCTGTGTCCCTAATACAATAGATGTAATTCTACAAAAGTTATAAATGACCATGTCATTTCTGACAGTGCTCTCTGATTTAGCTAACAATACATTGCTAGTACAAAAATGAGCTAAACTTTTTATTTATTGGAGGAAAATACCACCCACCTTCCCCAAAGCATGTGTAAACAGAACAAAATAATTTTTCGGCCACCAAAAGCCTAACCATGCTTTTACGTCATGCAAGTTGATTTCCACACCTGACATATCCACAGTTATTTTGTTAAGCAACTTTTATAATTTAAGGATTTTATACGGAAATAATCCAATTGTAGCAAAAAAAGATGTTTCAGCCCCCATGCTCCACTAAAACGATGCCAGCGTGAAAGAATATGCACTACTAATACACTGAACGGATAATATGTTGTTGTCGTTGCTAGAGAGCTTCATCATCAAAGTAGGTGTACTCCTAAACCTCCTTTTTTCCTCCCATCCAACTCTGATGCCCAAACTTTTGATAGACCTGCTTAGGAGGCGTGTATTCCAGAGGAATCCGAAAAGAAACGGTTTTGTTCAGCCCACCGAGCTCTCTACATTCTGTGACTTCTTGCCTAGAATTTGGTTAAGTAAATATACACCATAGTGCACATGTCCGGATCTGGAAGGCCCACGCAAATGTAAGGTCAAACAACCACAAATAAGCCACGATGTGTTACTCCGCCTCATCCTAGTGATCTGGAACGAAGCAATTGTATCGGACACGTACATCATACAGATACAAACACATCCCTTAGTAATCACCTCCCGCATTCCGACCCACTGAAGTCAGCCACAGTAAGGTAGCAATGGAAACTCCCACAGTTCAGACAGAAACAAAGTAAATCAAACCTCAACAAAACTACTTTTGTATTTCTATCAAAATGCTCGGAGATATAAGTAAGAGATCAGGAATCACATCGAAATCATCCCCTCATCCCAGGTGAACGATGGGTGCATTCCATGTTGACAAATCCGTGTAAAAATTAAGATCATCTAAAGGCTATGAGTCATACGCATGTCGTGGATTCTAAAATTCGGGAGCAAAATTTTCTAGTTTATATACAGCAAGTGGTAATTTTGATATCAATCGGAGCCTAGTAGATACCTTTCCATCTACTTTCACATTATCATCATCTCCAAAGTCACTGAAGCATATATCCTGTCGAGGCCCTCGATCTGTGTCAACGGGACACTCTTCCACCAAGCTCTCCACCGTGGATGAAACGGCTGCTCCAATTGTGGGCGACGATGAGGAGGATGTTCGATTCCGTGAAGCGGTGTCAGCAGATCCATTCGTCAACGGAACAGATTGCCCAATAAAACGCTTTAGGATGGTCATCCCACCCGCCACTGGCCCATCGCCTTCCTATTGAGAAAAGCATTACTTTTAGCTGATAACTTCCCCCTGACTGGCGGCACTTTGTCTTTCAGCCCTTCACTACGTCCATGTTAAAACGACTTCTCGGATGCTACATTGATGGCAGTGCTGGCAAACCACACCATACTCAAGGAATACCGAAAGCAAAGCTACTGATACCAATTAGTGGTAGTTTGGTGCAAACTAGGTAGAACGGCATTCTTACCCTAACTTCCTCATAGGCCTCAAAGATGATTGTCACAAAGATATTCAACACAGCGTAGATGAAGAGCGTGATGAAGACGTAGAGAAAGATCCTCGAAAAGAGGTATATCCCCATGCCCTTCGTGGAGTCAATGGTGGCGAAGGTGGTGTACATGTCATCGCCATTGATTAGGCTGAAAAGACACTCGAGGGTGGATGTAAACGAGCGAAATTTCATGTGAAACGGGCCCAGTATCACCCAAGCGGGGAAGACGAAAGCGAAGTAGAGGATGAGAGCACAGGCACAAAATCGAAGCAGACCCGGGACTGAGCGCTTGATTGTGCGTAAGAGGAGCTGTAAAATGATAAGCAAGGTTAGAAGAATTACTACTTGTGCATAATAGTAAGGCGTGGTGACAATGCGACGTACGTGTGTTTGAGAGGCTAACTCGACGTAGCGAAGAACGCTAATCCAAACCAAAAGGGTTCCCAAACCAAGGAGGTAGGATAACTCGGTGTAGGCCACTAAGATCTGTAAACAAGATATCACGAATTGTAGGTTTCAAAAAGTCCGACAGGTCGCATCAGAAAGGGGGAGAGGATGATTAAAACCGTGCCATTACATTCTGATAACTACATGTGTTCTTCTCGAAAGAGTAAAGGACAGAATTCAAGTAAAATTTAATCCAAAAGAAGATTAAAATATGTAAGACTACACGCGTACATCTTTGTTGTGCACGAGCTTTAAAGTGGAACCACAGATGATGAGAAAGTCGCCTCCCACCACCACGAAGAGCCAAGGATTAACGAAGTCGAAGAAGAGACCACTCAACCGCATTCCGTAGTGCTCTTTGAAGAATCGTTTAGTTCTCTAGAACGGCAAACAGTTGTTAGTAGCAACTTGAAAAGGACAGAGGGGTGAAATGGAATTGCCAATTCCTCACACACCTTCCACAGTCGAGCACCTCCGGACAGCGCGACTCCGCAGAGCCCCAGAGAGACAAGGGAGGTGTTGAAAGCAAGAAGGTCAACCACCAGGTGGACCACTCGACGCACCGTTGGCGCAGCCTCGGGCTCATCGTCTTGCCGCACGCCTTTGAAGAGGGCGCAAACTACCTCAAGGGGCGCTGACGTCAGGGTCGCCACCACCTGGCCCGTTTGACCGCTGTTATCGAAGAGAATCTGCCAGGAATTTAAGAATGCAGAAGTAATGTGAGCTGAGTGGACTTTATTCCTACCTAATCACGCGAGCCTTTTCGATCTCTGTGATGATGGCTTTAGGCTACGCGAATACTCAGCACTTTCTATACTCCTGAGCGCCTTTAAACACCTTCAGGTTAACTCAAGCCTAATGAGCCTTAAAAAAGCCTGAATCCACTGCCAACGAGGTTGGCATGTAAAGACGCCTACTTTTTCCGTTTAAGGAGGTGACAAGAACAAGTGTCAGAAGGAAAGTGAATGAACAGACACTTACATGTACATTGAATTGAAAGCACTCGATACTCCTATCCCAGTCGGTGTGATGGATTGCAGGTGAAATAAGTGAGAAATTGAGCGATAATTTCCAAAACCTAAAATCCACCAACCAAAAACTTGATAGTCGGCAATTCACAGTGGAGGTGGAATGGGAAAAAAAGTAGGCTCACCTTGAGAAGTAGAGAATAAGCCCCTGATTGTTAAAAAAGGCCTCAGTGTGTTGCCAGTCGGAGATTTCAGTCTCAGAGACATTAAGGAGATTAATGGTTTTGCAAACTAAAAATTGGGTAAAGCATCCGCTAGGCAAATACAGATAGCAGTTAGATTACTCCAAAAATGCGACAGCTGCCCCTTCCCACCAACATTACCAATTTGCCTCAAACTAAACCCGTTTAAGACCGCTTGACAAGGTAAAAATCGGCAAAATTCCACTAAATATACACATAAAATTTGAATAAACTAACTCTCCCCTCCTCCGTGTAACAGCTTAATCTCAGTGCTGCATAAAGTAGACATGAAACTAACCTGCTGGAGGAGTTGCCACCACATTTCGGATGGTTATTAGATGAGACAGCGGGTGAAATTGCTCAACACAAGCTGTGACTGGACGCTTCGCATCGCTGAAAGTGTAGCCATTAAGTGAAAGCGATTCTGTTTCATTGTACTGAAAGATGAAGAAAAGGACCACGGATGGGAAAGTAAAAAATGGATTTTTGCGCCGTACATACATTAACTAATTGTAATTTTTGTTAAAACAAGTCAATTTGGGTTGCCGTGGGTAGGTGAGTAAAGGATGGAAAGATAGGTGGATACGGGATGAATGGATACAAACAGGATGGATGGATGGATAGAATGGACACAGGATGGATAGATGGATACAGGATAAATGGATGCATATAGGATAGATGGATGGATGGATGGATTGAGTGATACAGGATGGATGGATACAGAATGGATGGATGGATTGAGTGATACAGGATGGATGGATGGATACAGGATGGATGGATTCAGGATAGATGGATGGATACAGGATGGATGGATGGATTGAGTGATA